AATTAGGCTTTCTAATGGAAACAGATGTGTCAGAGATAGTGAAGTTGGCGCAGAATAGGGCCGGGCTCAGAGCTGTTGTACATAGGGTCAGTATGAGTTGCAAGCGACTTGACGGCACATAACAACAGCCACAACAACAACACTCAGAATAAATCTTGCATTATACATCCTGCAGTTTTTATTTCAGTGACAAAGAGAAGAAAAAAATGAGAATAAATAAAACAGATCTTCTACTACTTTTCTTAGAAGAACTCATAATGAGGTAATGAAGCTCAGATGAAATTAACCACCATAGGTTAACCAACACAGGTAAAATTAACTACTAGAATTTACATTTAATGTATGTTTTTTAAAGACAAGACTTATTACAAGTCACAACTTTATACAATATCAGAATCACTTTGGCACACTCGCATAGATTTTCTTCACTGTGGAAAGATTTAAATCAATGAAAAAATGTTGAATTTTATTGTAGTAACACTATTAAAATGAATGGAGCGGCCTGATTCTGGTTTTTGGTTGAGACTTGGGTGTGGCTGTTACTTTCAACTGGGTGTGAACTGATTGGATTTGGCCTGCCTCATATTTAAAAAGGCATCTGGTCATCAGTCTGGGGCTGCTTTCCAGACTGGGAAGATGTTCGGAGTGGCCAGATTCTGCAAAGGTGTGTTTTCTTGTGTAATTGTTTCAGTCAAACATTCTTCTAAGTAGTATAGCACGGGTCTGTCAATTTGTTGTACAAAGGTAACTCGTGGTTGCTGTGAGGTTAAACAATGTGACATTGATATGTCAAATGTGATAATGGTTATCCATGGTGGACAGTGTTTGGTGGAGCTCCCCTATTAAAACCAGCTTGGAAGCAAGAGTGGCTCTACTTCCAAAATAGCTTGCCTCTGAAACTCTGTGAACTTCGAAAAAAAATGGTATTTGTGCTTAAGACTTTTGTTCATAGGGTCGCTATGAGTCATCTCCGGCTCAACGGCATTTAACAATTACCATAATTACGCTCTAATTACAGTATCCTGTCCTCCTTGAGCAGTGTTATAGAAGTGTTAAGTTTTAATGCACAGCCATACACACATGAAATCTTTGTGGAAACGTTCACTTATAAATTAGAAGATAAGACTCTAAAAATTTTAAATTACTGAATATTTTAAAACATATAAAGGTACCTGTTAATTTTTTCACCTTCATTCATGATGGCAAATATCTTGTTACTACAAGCATAAATGAGAAAATGTTCACCATTAGGTTAGCATAGAAAACCAAACCCACTGCCCCTGAGTCCATTCCAATTCATGAAGGACTTCCACTGGCTGCTTAGGTGTAGTCTTTACTAGAAGGACTACCCATTTTCTCCCAAAGAGTGTCTAGTGGATTTGAATTCCTGAATTTTGGGTTAGAAGCCCAAATTGTATTGCAGTATGTCATGAAGGCTCCTAAATATACATGTACATAATTAATTTGAAAAATTAAATTTTACTTAAATGTCCACTTTATGCTATTGGTAAGAAAAATGCATAAAATTTCCCCAGAAAAGTGTTTTCTGATACTTATACTTGTTGTTATGTGCCATCGAGTTGCTTGCCACTCATGGCGACCCTATGTA